AGGAAGTGTCTTAAACTCAGGGTGAATACAAGTTGCAGATTTGCCCCCCTAATATTGTTTAACTTCTTTCTTTTTAATTGGTCAGTACCTTGCTGGACATTTGTCTGATTTGTTGATTTCTTCTTTGAAAGGGCCAGAATTCTGGTATTTACTCATTTATTTATGTTTGAGACAAGGTTGCATTATCTAGCCCTGGTTGTCCTGGAACTATGTCAGTGGTTCTCAGGCTTCTTTGTTTTTTTGGCTTTTGTTTTTTGAGACAGGGCTTCTCTGTGTAGCTCTGGAACCTGTTCTGGAACTTGCTCTGTAGACCAGGCTGGCCTCGAACTCCTGCCTCTGCTTCCCAAGTGCTGGGATTAAAGGTGTGCGCCACCAATGCTCAGCTGGTTCTCAATCTTCTTAGTGCTGGGACCCTTGAATACAGTTAGTTCCTCATGTGGTAACTCACAGTCATGAAATAATTCTCATTGCTATTTCACTATTTTGCCAGCATTATGAATCATAATGTTAATGTCTGTTTTCTGATGGTCTTAGGTGACCCCCAAAAGGGGTCATGACCCCAGTTTGAGAACTTCTGTAGTAAGTAGACTAGATCAGCCTTAAACTCAGAGATCTGCCTACTTACTCCTGCCTCCTAACTGCTGAGAATAAAGGCATATACCACCACACCCTGCTATTTATTTATGTAGTATGTGTGTGCACAACACCCTTGCTCATGTACACTCATGTGAAGCACGACTTTTGAAAGTCAGGTCTCTCCTTATACCATGCAGGTCTTGAGGATCAAACTTGGGTCATGAAGCTCTGTGGGATTACCTGCTAAGCTATCTCAATGACCCAGCACACCTGGCCTCCTTTATTATTTCTTTGTTATTGTTGAGACAGGGTCTTAGTTTGTAGCCTGGGATGGTCTGGGACTCACTCTGTAAAGCAGGGCTTTCCCTTCTCTTTGCTTTTTCCTACAGGTTTTATCTTCCAGAAGCCATCCTTCCTGGAGCTTTCTGATCATCCAATGCAGCCATTGTTTCAGTATCTCTGCATTTCAGGTTTAGCTTTATGTATCTCATGGCTTCCTCTTTGTTGGTTAGCGTCTTGATTTTTGTATGTCACACCCTTCAGTAGCTTCCCTAGAGATAATACTTAGATAAAACATTTTGTACTTGGGGGGAAAAATAAACAAACAAAAAACCCTCTATCCTTACTGATGATTACCATTTTATCGAATGTGAATTTATTGATTTTTTTTTTTTCCTTACAATTTTGGGGGCTGTGTCTCACTCTTTCTAGATAACTTTTTTTTTTTTTTTTTTTTTTTTGGTCCTCCTCCACACAGTGCCTCAAGTACTCTAGTCTTTGAATGTGGCTGATGATGGTCTTGAACCTTCTGACCCTCCTACTTCCTCCTCTAGAGTCAGAAAGCCTTGAGTCCTCATACTGCATGCCTGTATGTATATTTTTGAATGAGGAATATACATTATATATCTTCTTATTCTGGACACTTGTAGTGCTATTCTCTCCACTTCCCACAGCCCTGGCTGTCCAGGAACTTGCTCTATAGACCAGGCTGGCCTCAAAGTCAGAAATCTGCCTGCCTCTGCCTCCAGAGTGCTGAGATTAAAGGTGGGCCATTTCCCCCCCTTAATCTTCAATGTTTTGATATTTCATTCACAGTGACAAAATACCAGAGGAAGAAAGGTTTATTTATTTTTTTACATGTAGTTAATATTTTTTTGGGAAAGGCTGGATAGCCTAGGCTAGCTTAAACTCAAACAGCCCTCTGCCTCAGCTTCCAAGTGCTAGGTTACAGGTATGTGCCAGACTCAATGCCCAGCTCCTTTTTTTTAAATTTATGCAGGTGGCAAGGAATCAAACTCTGGTATTCTTAAAAGTTCTAGAAATGCTCTTAACCACTGAGACATTAAGCTTGGTGGCAGACTGAGTCATTTCACCTGGCCTAAATGTACCTTCTTTTGCTATAACAAAATATATAATATGAGATAATTTATAAAGAATAAAGATGGGCTGGAAAGATGGCTCAGCAGTAAAGAGCACTGACTGCTCTTCCAGGGGACCTGGGTTCAATTCCCAGCCCCCACAGGGCAATTCACACCTATCTGTAATTCTAAGATTTGATACCATCACACAGACATGCATGCAGGCAAAACCCCAGTGCACATAAAATAATAATGGATGAATATTTTTTTTTAAAAGAGTAAAAACCTATTTAGTTCACAGTTCTTGAAGCATACTACTAGCTCCTTTTAACCTTCACCATAATGATGGGTACGGAACCAGGGACTTGACCAAGCTAGACGGGTACTCCGCTGCGGAGACACACCCAGCCTACCTCTTCCTTCTTTGCTTTGGATGGGCTCTTGCTGCATTTCCTAGACTGTCTTGAAACTTGCAAGTCTCGCCCTCTCAGTGTCTCAAGCATGAACAGAGATAAGGGCCTTGTTGCTGTATCACAACAAGGTCAAGGGTATTACATGAGGAGAATAAGGAAGTGTTCCCGAGTTTCCCTTCATGACCCCATTTCAGCTGTCACAGGCCTTGTATCCTTACCTCCAAATAGCTTCCAAATAAGACTTTGGGACTAAATTTCCAATACAAGAATTTTGGGAGACACATTTTTAAAAAGGGTGTGTGTGTGTTCTGTGTTTGATGTGTGTATGGTGTGTTAGTACCAGCATGAGAATGCCATGGTGCTCATGTTGGGGTCAGAGGGCGGGTGGTAGTCCTTGCCTTTCTACCTCGAGACAGGGTCTCATTGTTTACAGCTATGTATGGGAGGCTAACTGGCTTACAAACTTCTGGGATGCTCCTGTCCCTGCCTCCCAGAAACTATTGACGTGAGTACAGTTGCTCCTGACCAAGCCCAGCTCCAGGTGAGTGGTTCTCACTCAGGTCCTCACTCTTGGACAGTAAATGTTGTATCCACTGAGCCATCTCCCCAGCTCTAACAGCAGCAGATCCTGACACAAACACTGGAAGGAAAGTGGGGTAAGAGATTACACCACCCTCGTGATCCATGGAATCAGGAAGTTGCTCTTATCATCAAGATACCAGCGAAACACAGGAAATCTCCCCAGAGATCTCACTTGCGTAGCATCCCTGGGGTGGGTGACCGGGTAGAAGTAGAATCCAGCTAGACTTCTCCTAATCATGTCTGACCAGGAAAAGCACTGCTTGCTCAAGAAGGACAGTGACTCTGCTCTCCAGGCCACCATCTAAATCTGTACACAAAAGAGTTTAGAAGCTAAGAGTAAGCAGATGGATGAAACAAAAACAAATTTATCAAAAAACAACCCAGTGGCCATTTCCATCCTTCTCATCCAGATTTGCCTTTGGACATGATTCTTTCAATGCACTTAATGTCATAACTTTAACACTCTTCCCTCTTGGTTCCTTTGTGTGCTCCATTATTATATTTTGGATAAATTTTTCCTTGCTGTCTTCCAATTCATAGCTCATCATTTTTCTCTTTAAGACATACAGTCTACAGTTTAACCTGAATGGTGATCTTTAAGAAAATCACCAATTATTTTCACAGCTCAGATTTCCAATGAGTTCTTTATTCTGGTTTTGTTTTTCAAACTTTTCACATGCTCATCTATCTGAATGGATTAAGTCTCCATTTAATATTTCCTACATACTTTTAGTAGCTATTTTGCCTTTCCAATCTTTTTGGCACAGTACAGGTGAAAATGTGTGAAGACCTTTTCTAACCCCTCTGTAAACTGTCATCTAGAACGAATCCCTGTGGTTGATTTTTACCACCGCTAACAAGGAACATTAGATTTCCCCATTGTGTGTATTTTGGAATTTTGATTTTGTAGACCCATGTTTGAAAGGCTCTAATGTGTGTTTGTGTGTGTGCGCGCGCGTTCATGCGTGCGCACCACGCATTCAAATTGGTACTTTTGTGGTTGGTCTCCTAACCCCTCATTCCAGACAAAAACAAAAGTCCTATATTGTGTCATTGTTCATTCTCCTGTGCTAGACTTACACGCATCTGGAAAGTGGGTGGCTTCCTTCTTGTGAGGCTGTGTTCTCCTTACCCTCTTAGCTCATCCTTCCCAGTCTACAGAATCACACAGCAGCATCTTCCTCCGGCCTCCTGTCTCACAGGAAACCTTTTCTGTTTTAAAGAGCAAATGTTTCTATGATTGTGTAGTGGACATTAAAAATGTACACTAATCATAAATGAATACTCATTCTCCAGAGTGTAATGGACAGGGGCTAGGACTCTTTAGAGGGACGCCAATCAACCCAGAATAAGAGGGTGAAAGTTATCTCCAGAAGGTTCCTAGTGCCTGTCTAGTCACTGACCTATCACAAGTAACTCAGTGCCTGGCCTTTCTAACGATCCCTGGGGACCCAGAGCCCTACAGCCCTGTGTCACAGCTTCTTCAGTGGCTCTAGCTCTGCCCTGCATCTGCATCACAGAAGTTTGTCACCTGTCCCAGGCCAACCCTGTGTAGTGAGTAGTACTCATTGCTGCTCTGTGGCTGCAATAGAGAATCGCTATTCCATCTTGACTAGAAGTCCAGCAGCCTCTGCATGAAAACCATCCTTAGGGCTGGGGACCAGGGACATGGGAACAGATCAATCAACTTCAAGTATGGAAAACTTTTGTGTGCTCCAGACTGAATTTGGACTTTTGTCCTTTAGGCGGTAGACATTTAGTGCAAAATTGTATGTAGTTGAGCAAGACACTTTGGACAGACACACTCTAGAAACAGTGCTCTGCTAGACCAGAAATGGAGGGGTGAAAAAGTCACTCAGGGTTATCAGCTGGCAAGAGGTCTCTAATCTTGGTGAGGCATGCCCAGGACCCAAAAGGCAGGAAAACTGATGTTAAGACTTGAGGGCCAAACCCAGGAGATCAGCAATGACTAACTAGATACATGTAGGGACAATTTTTAGTTTCTGGAAATCTGATGAAAGATAGGACAATCCACAGAGCTTCAAGAAATAAAGGAGAAAGTTTCTGAGGATTCATCTTTTAAAAAATATTTATTCATTTATTTTTATGTGCATTGTTGGTTTTGCCTGCATATGTATGTCTATGTCAGGAACTTTAGTTACAGACAGTTGTGAGCCATTATGTGGGTGCTGGGGATTAAGCCCAGGTCATCTGAAAGAGCAGCCAGTGCTCCTAACCTCTGAGCCACCACTTTGGCCCCCAAGGATTTATCTTGTTAAGCAGTTTTGTCAGTGGCTACCTCTGCAGGTCCTCTTCAAGGTTCTGGTCCCATAACTGATCAAAAGATGCAATCTTTGTGAGTCCCTGCTGGTGGAAACTGAAGCATACAAGTGGTATACAAGACGTCAGCTTTGAGGCTTCCTTGGGCTGTTTTCAGCCTGTTAAGAGTGGAGGTACCAGTCTCTGAAGTGTGGGCTTAGTAGGGGACACTCAAAGACAGAGGAGAGTCAAGAGCCCTGGAGATACAATAGGGAGTCAGTCTTTCTCCCGGTTGGTCAAAATCCAGGCTCTCGCTCTCTTGGCATACAACTTCTGTCTCTAATGCAGACATACTCTCTTCCAACAACCTCTTCAGCATGGGTGTGTCCAGGAGGCTGAAGAGGTTTCTTCTTTTAGTTCATTACTCTTTTTACTTACCCACCAGCTTGTTCCTGTTACAGAACCCTTCAGCTTTCCAGTTAGCCAGTTGCTGTCCCTCAGATCAACTGTTACCTTAGAAGTGAGCTGAGAAGGTTCTGGAAGTGCGGCACAGGAGTTGGGAGCTTCTGGCTTAGACCTTAGAAGTTGGCTCTCTGAAGGGAGGAGACACAGCAAGCTGAGGGCAGGGGGCAGGCTGAAGTATACTAGTCTGTTTTTCCAAGACCCCACTATACAGATGGGCACTACTGGTGTTATTGCTAACTTTAGGAAATAGAATAGGTTGCCATGAAACGTGAAATCATAATCCCTCCCTACATCCCATAAATGAGGTCTGGAGAGGCCGTTACTTGTTTAGGGTCAAACCGGGAACAGTTTACTTCCTTTGGGAGTAGAGAGGAAGAATGATTTTAGAGCCACCTCAATGACCTCTGGGGTGCTATGGCCAACCAGATACTGACACTTTTGGGGGGAGGGGCTTGCACACCTCTTGGTCCCTTGGGCATTGTAGAATCTGAGTTCGGGGTCTTAAAGTCCTATATTCTCTGAGTTCTCCCTGCAGGCCCTGCACCTGGGATCAGAAGAATGAATAGAAAGCTTGTTTAGTAGGAATTTCTTCCCTCCGCTGTTTGCTTTGGGTTTTTTCCCTCTCCGTTCCTGGCTTCTAACCCAATATTTGACTTTCTGTAAGCACTAACATTTTTTTTCCCCCATTTAACCCCCAGAAACATGGCTTCCTACCTGCTTCCCACCACCGGATTCCCAGCCTGGAATGAAAACACTACCCAGAGGGCATGGCAGCACTGTTGAGCGGGGGCGGTTCCGGGGAGGAGGGAGGCGCAGCGCCAGGGAAGGGGAGCACTCACCCACGCGGGGCATCTCTCAGTCCCAGGCAAGGGAGCATCAGGGAAGGAGGGAGTCGGGAAGGCAGGGCAGCCACCGGGTCCTGCTCCTCTTCGGGTACAGCGCCTCTGCATCTCAGCACTCCAGGGGCAGCTGTCAGGGCCAGGACACTCCCATTACCCACCCTCGCGTCCCACCGAGGCTGCGCCCAGCGTGGGGGTGGGGGTGGCTGCACCTTTCTGCTCGCTGTAAACAGGAGGTGGCGTGAGCTGAATAGAACCTGGCAGTGGAAAATTCCTCTTGTGCAGCTGAAGCCACAGCTATTGAGTACCAGCCTTGGCCAGCCTGGCCCTGGAGATTCTTCACTAAAGAGCCTGCTGGGAGGGGGTGGCTGCTTCTCCATCAGAGGTGGGTCAGCAGCATGGGACCCCAGCTCAGCGCCACCCTTCCTTAGTCCCATCCAGCATTCACATTTGGTTTTCCAAGTCTGCGGCCCTGGCAGTGCATGATTCTGTCTGGCTGGGCAGGAAAAACGCGAGACAGCTCCTTCCTACCCCCTGATTTACAGTCTTGCTGTGTTTCTGAGGGAGGCAGACTGGCTCTGCAGTTCTGTGGGGGCAGGCTTGCTTCCTGCCTGGGTTGGAGGCTGCTTAGGGACAGAAGTGGCTTCCGAGTGGCATCCTTCCTGACTGAGCTGACCTAGTCAGATGTGTTGGTACCCCAGCGGGCCAGCACTTGGGCATGCTTGTGTGTGTGTTGCTCATAACTTTTGGTGGTCAGCAGGGCCTTTCTGTCTTTCCTCTATGCTCTTGTTTCCTCTTTTCTTCCTTCATTTCCTCAAGTGTCTGTCAACTGCTCACCAGGTACTGAGCACAGTAGGAACTGCCTAGAGACCATTAAGTCGCTGGCCCTGCACTGGCTAAAAGAATCAAATAGGGGTACTAACCTCTGCAACATGAAGTTGAATACAGTTAATGAAAACACAAAAATCTGTTTTATTTCTCACTCAGATACTAACCAAACCCAGCTTGGATGCTGCCTCTCAGATCAGTATGACCCATTGTCAGGAGCAATGGCTGTTGGGGAGGTGGCCCACCCCTATTGCCAACCCTGGGTCAGCTCTCCCCATGAAGAGCGCTGTTGGCATAGGTCAGGAGTGCTGGTCTTACCTCTTTTGAGAGGGTCCCAGGGTTCTTCCCCTAAGGCGATAATGGATTTGGCTGATCAAGCTAAACTTGCAAGTCCCTTGTCTAGATACTGTCTTCAGAATGTGTGCTCAGTCTTTAGCCAGAATGAGCTGCCACATGATGCTTGCTTCGCTGTTCCCAAGCCTTCCTCAGGACCATCTGGACCACCAGAAACTCCCCTTTTGTTTTGTGTGGGACAGACAATTCTTTATTCTACTCCAGCTTGGCGCAGGTCACTTACAGGCACTGATGTAGGCTACAGGAGACCCAAACCTGTTCTCTGGTGTTCCCAGCCCATTGACACTTGCTGGTATCACAATCCTACTTAGAACTCAGCTTCCCTTCTCAGTCTTGAGGGCTAAAGGGGGCCTGGAGTTAGTCTTCCTAGCTCAGAGACACATGATCAAACTTGGAACCTTCATTGTCTGCCCACATTCAGCTCCTGGTAGCTCCTTGGGTTCAAGTTTCTTTCTCCTTTGCCACTGTGACATTTGACAGGTTTTTTTGTTTGTTTGTTTGTTTTTTGTTTTTTTTTTCTTTTGTTTTACAGAAGGCCAGTGTCGGGTTGTAAAGATCACACACAGAAGATACATTAGAAGATTCCCTTCCTCATCGGCATGGGGTGTGTCCTGTGTGAAGCTCCCTGAATTGTTGATTGGAATGGGAAGTCCCTCCTGCCTGCTCCATTCCTTTTGAGAGTGAGATGGGCGGGGGTGGGGGGGGATGGGGGGTATCAGGGCTGTGAGCAAGGGGGAGGATGCAGACCACAGAGTGGGAGAGTCACCCAAGACTCAACCAACACAAGAACCTCATCCTTGGTGCCTCAGTGGGCAAGGCTGGGCTTGTCGTCTTGCCCAGCCACTGGTGGAGGGAGCACAGACTTGGTGACAGCTTCCTCGGAAGAGATGAATGAAGCAATTGTGTACTTGGTGCAGAGAAGATTCCAGATGGAGGAGGTGTTTTCAATGGCAATAACCCGGAGATGGAATATTTTAATGAGTCAACAAACAGAGATATTGGCGCAGGCTTCCCTTTGGTCTTGTGAGCGCTTGCGAACCTCCGGAGGTATTCTTGGCACGAATGGCCCTTGTCTAAAAGCTTTTATTTTCTTCTTCACTTCAGTCACTCCTCCCATCTGCAGGGATTCCAAACTCAAATTCTTAGACAACAAAGGCCGTTAACATAACCCCAGTGGGTGAGTTCTCAAGCCAGAAGGAGAGTTTTCTCATGGCTCTGTAAGCGCCAGGCCCCCACCCCATTTTTGTTTTGTTTTCAGAAGCATCAGATGATCACATTTAAGGGGGCTCTTGGAAGTTGCTCCACACCAGTTTATAGTTCAAGAGGGTAGCCAAGGATGCGTGAGTCCTGCTAATGTCTGGCTGGTGGCTTTGCAGTTTTATATAGCTTCTGGAAACTGGGGGTGAGAGAGTGGTGGGCAACCCAGTAAAATTTGTGTTGTTTAAACCACAGTGAAGGACAAGTCACGTATGAGGTCCTATGTGATGCCCTTGGAATTGGAGGTAAAGGAGCCTGGAACAGTCTAGGCGACAGCCACAACACACCAGGAATATGGTGGAGGTTGGCATAGGTGAGGTTTGGAAACTGGAGGTTCTGGCTTGGCCACCATCTGGAAGAGAGACCTCCCCAGTCTCTGAAAGATTTACAAGCATCTTCCATCTTGCCTAAACAAGGTAGACCAAGATGGATGCTCCTGGTTTTACCAGCGCTCTGGGACTGCCCTGAGACTGAATGAGTTGGGCAGTGGGGACCACTCTCCGGTCCCAAGAGTGCCCTCCGCTGTGCTGCTTGACCTGTGGTTGCAGCCAGGCTGATGTCCTCTTCTTGACACCAAAGATGGCGCTCCCGGGGGTGGAGGATCAAGGTCAGAAACAGAAACTGTAATTAAATCTATTTTTATCCCCCTCATCCCCAGCAGGAGGTTATTCTTAGTGCTCAGGGATGGGGAGGGATGAGCAAAAGGCTGCCTTTGACCCCGTGGCCTTTGAGTGATTGGTAGAGGTTGGGGACTGAGTGCTCCTGAAGCATTTTCCGAGTCCAGAAACTGCAGAACATGCTGCTTCCATGGCAGAGAGCAAGGTCAAAGTGCCCAGCGTCAGTATTTGCCACTCAGAGCCTCTACTCCTGATTTGGACCTTGGGGTTGAATGTGGGCAGTTCTGCTTATGTAGGCTGAGGCAGGTGTGGCTTGTATTCTTCAAACAGGTGTCCCTTGTTTTTTTGACTGAGCCCGTCAGAGAAGCCTGCTGCTTCCTAACCTCTTCTTCCTTTGGAGTCAGTCCAGAGCCCACATTCCTGGCCCGAGGACTAGGGGCCAAGAGAGCAGAGGCAGTGGATTAGCAGCTTGGCCACTCCCTTTCTTAAAGTTATTCCAGGTGCATTAGAAAGAACTGTTTATTCGTCTGCCTCCTCCCCAGGTGTGTTCTCTTCTCCATCAATCTCTTAGCCCATTCTCTTCATCCCAAGAGTGGACCCTACACCTCCCTCCCCCCTCCACACACCAAGGAAGTCAGCCAAGAGTACAGCTTGACCTGGCCTGCAGAAAGGATCCCAGCATCTCCCATTCAGCCAAAGCCAGGGGCTTAGAAATAGAACTTGGGGGTTCAAGTTCTTGGAGCTTATGCTACAGGCACTTCACTTTCAAGAAGAAAAATTACTATCCACTGTGGATTTGCCTCCAAAATGAAGACCAAGGATCCTGTTCCCCTCGGCCACTCCTGCGGGCTGTGTTCTTGTTCACATGTGCTTTTATAAACAGCTGAGTCCCATGTCGTTGGGAGCATCCCTTCCCATTAGTTCCTTCCTCTTGGAGCTCCCCTCTCTCCACCTGCAGAACCAGCTGGAGCCAACTGTATTTCCCACACATGTATATACAATTTCCCTCCACAATTAATGGCTAGTTGTCTTGACTGAGGCAGGACTGTGAGGTCTCTCTATATTGGGGGTAGTGGGAGTAGTTCTTGAAAAACATTCATCCTTGGGTGTCCTGCCTGACTTTTGTGTCTACAGTGCTTCTGCTGTATCCTCTAGCTTTTCTGCCCTATCTCTGGCCATTGCTAGCTCTGCTGGAACCACCTATACATTGGCATCCTTATCTGTCCTTACCTTTTTTTTTTTTTTTTTTTTTTTTTTTTTATGTAGTTCCTGTAGACCAGGCTGGCCTTGAACTGAGATCCACCTGCCTCAGTCTCCTGAGTGCTGGAGTTAAAGGTATGCACTACCTCACCTGACCTCCTCCTCTTCATTCTTGTTCCTTCATTGTTACCTCATACTGAGACCTGGTGATTTTTCTAAATTCCATCACATACTTGGAGACTCCAACAGTTTCCCCATCTTGATGATGATGATTGGGAGGCTCTGTGTAGTCTTTCTGAGAACTTTTTCCTTGTACCCTGTCTCCCAGGGACCCTGATTTTCCATTAGCATGTGTTCTGTGTGTTGCCTCTATACCTCTTCTGGAAGCATCATTGTTTCAGTGTCTTGGTGTGTATGTGTACACACATATGCACCCATGCACAGGTGTCACTGGAAGCCTATCCAAGACCTGGACGTGTTGGCGCACACCTTTGATCCCAGCTCTCGGAGGCAGAGACAGGCCATCTCTTGAGTTCAAGGCCAGCTTGATCTTCATAGAGATTACATTGTGGGACCTTGTCTCAAAGAAAAACCAGATTCAACCTAACTGAGCTGCATAGTTTTTATGGAGAGAGAGCTTAGCAGTTAAGAACACTTGCAGTTCTTCCATAGGACCTGAGTTTGGGTCTCAGCTCTCCCACGGTGGCTCACACTGTTAGTAACTCCAGTCCTAGTGAACCCAGATGCCCTTTTATGGCCTCTGTAGGCACCAGATGTGGTGCACAGACATTATGTACATGCAGGCAAACATTCATACACATGAAATAAAAATAAACCTTTGAAAACAAAAGTCCACCTATGGCTCAGCTACCCTCCAGGGATTATAATTTCCAGGAAGAATTCCCTAATGGAACCCTAGCATCTACATCTCAAACGCAACTTCAGAGCGCCCTTTGGCCTCCAGTTTGGGCAGCCTCTGCCTTTTTTGAACACATGTTTCTTTGTAACGCTATGATTGACTCCTCAGTTGTAGTCTATCTTTTGATAATAGTGTAACCTGTTTTTCAGATCAGAATTCCCCTCTTCTGCTTGTGTACTTGGAGGAAAATGAACCCTCTACTGAGCTCTGTGTCTGGGGAAGTAGCTTTGGCCTA